TTTTTTCCTTCACCATAGATGAACACGCCGGGGATTCTTAAGACGCCTCCTGCTCGGTTTCGCCCCATCAAAGTTGAGATAATAATTACCGTATTTTCCGCACTATAAGGCGCAGCGAAAAGTCTTCCATTTTCTTCAAAGCTGCCAGCGCGCCTTAAAATGCGCTGCGCCTTGTGTACGGTCATCACGGTTATCTGTCGACCCCAAGATGGCTCCTTGCTGGAGACATGCTTACAGTGTTCGAACTTGCTGTTGGTTCAGTGAACGGCGTCGCTGCTTTGTTAAATAAGTTTTTGTTGCAGCACCGAAGAATGTTGTTGTTGTTTTTTTTTTTTTTTTTTTTTTAACGCACACTTTATTCGTGGTTTTCACAGTCTCAACAAATACCGTTACGTCTGTCCGTCCGTCTCCGTGCCTTCTCTTCTTCCGCTTGACTCGAGAGGCGTTCATGACCGCCTCAGAAAAACGTAAATGAACGATTCCTTCAATGAAACTACGAAAATCGAAAAGAATGCATCAAAACAGAAAATCAAGCGAGGGAGGAAATCACAAAATAAATTCTATCGCACGCTCAAGGAAATGCCATGGGGCGGCTATGGAATTTATTTTGTGATTTCCTCACTTGATTGTTTGTTTTGAGGCTTTTTCAATTTTCGTAGTTTCGTTGAAGTAATCGTGAATATACGTTTCTCCGAGGCGCTCATGAACGCCTCGAGTCGAACGGAAGGAGCGGAGCTCCATCTAGTGGATGCATTGTAGATTGCGCTTAAAAACCCAGTGCGTCCAATATACTGTATGACAAAATAGGCCGTTCTTTGAAGGTGCGCCTCATAATCCAGTGCGCCTTTTAGTGCGGAAAATACGGTAGGTCGATGAGAATTTGCCCCTTTTGACGAGCACGAAACACAAATCCATATGACAAAAAATATATATATATATATATATATCCCTCCATCGCTCTTCTGTCATTCTTTGTGTGAAACGTGTGCACTCGCGTCCGACAATGAGGCGCTCTCAAGTCACTGTCATCCCAAGGGAAGAAGCTTTTTCAGGGTAGACTGCCGGTAATGCTCAAAAACCAACGGCCAACGCGAACCCTTTGCCTGTTCGTGACCGAAAGGGCGGCCCCGATTTCATCTCACAACGGGTCCTCTTTCTCGCCTCAGTCTGGACACCATCCTGAACCAGGTGGCGGTCCAGAGGAAGCGTCCCTTTGTGGAGCGCGTTCTGAGCTATTGGGTCCTCAAGAGGCAGTCCAGGAACAACGTGCCGCTCATCCGCCGCCTGCAGGCCAACCCGTCCCAAGCGCCCAAGTCTGCGTCGGCGGTGAGCGGGGCGTCGAGATTTGAGGCCGGCGCGGGAACCCGGCCGTCCGTTTCAGTGGTCATCACGCGGGCTGGGGTCTTCCTTCAGGTTGCCGCGGAAACCAACCAAGCGCTGAAGGAGCAGCTGAAGGAGTGGCACCGACTCAGACACGACCTGGAGCGAGCGCGACTCCTCTTGGAGCTCATCAGGAAGAGGGAGAAGCTCAAGAGGGAGGAGGTATCTCCAGCCACTTCACGTCGGCTTTTGTTTTCCGGGGCTTGTACAGTTTTTTGTTTTTTACTTTATATCAAAGTTAAAAACACACACATTGAAAACATTTTACGCAGGTGAGAAGGATCTTCGCTCTCTTGATTGATTCTCGAATTGACTGCCGGTTCCAACCATACCATTGTCGCCATCTTATCAGGACTGCACTTTGCGCGTGTTTGTTTGTTTGTTTGTTGTAGGTGGTAGATTTTCACCTCTCGTCGGGGTTTAAGAGACCGCCATGCCGGAAAGCCAGTTCTTCTCACGCGCGCTTGTGTTTGGTTACCAGATGAAGCTGCAGCAGTCGGCGCTGGAGGTCCAGCTGACGCCCTTCAACATCCTGCTCAGGGCCGTGCTCAGCCAGCTGCAGCAGAAGGACCAGTACAACGTCTTTGCTCAGCCCGTCAGCACCAAGGAGGTCAGCGCCGACGCATGCTATCGCAAATTTGCCCTGTGACAAATCGAATGGCGACGTAGCTCATGAATTGTAACTGTTAGATATGATATTTTTTTAAACCTCTTTTGGGAGATTGTCTCCCCACCAATTCCCTGAAACAAATTGTTGCATAATTTCTCCCCCGCAGGTCCCGGACTACCTGGACCACATCGAGCGGCCCATGGACTTCTCCACCATGAGGACGCGCATCGACGGCCACGCCTACCGCAGCCTGGACCAGTTTGAGGCCGACTTTGACCTGATCATCGCCAACTGCATGAAATACAACGCCAAGGAGACCTTTTTCTACAAGGTGGCCCAGAGGATGCAGGACCACGGCGGCGCCATCCTGCGCCGCGCCCGCAAGGAGGCCGACCGGATCGGCTTCGACTTCCCCAGCGGACTGCTGCTGCCCGCGGCGCCCAAAGCGGAGGCGCCGCCGTCCTTCGCCTGGGAGGACGGTAAGTCGCTTCTCGTCTCCATCCCGGACACAAATGTCCCCGAAGATCCGCCACAAAATTTCTCCATAAGACAACGGTACTTGAAGGGTAGTACGGTGTAAGACCAAAGTTCTTCGATGTGCCGCCGTGTATAAGATGAAGACGACACGTTTCGTTTGATAGCCCTTCATCACCAAAAAGTCTCAAAAACCAAGCCAAACCGAAGGTGGCAGGGTGGGGGAAGCGGCAGTAATACAGGCCAAAATCCAGGTGGCGGGGGTTGATGTGGTGCGAGCGTCGAGCATGTAGAAAGAATTCGTAATTGGAAATGGAAACCTTTTTTTCCATTTCTACAGGCTCAAGAACCTGCTGACTTTGGTTTTTGGACCTGTCAGTAATCAAAAGCCAAGCATGAATAAAAACCGAATACAAAGAACGTTTCGATGAGATTACGGAGCCGAGACGACAAAAATCCCTCGATTCCTTGCAATCGTATGTTGAGCGACGCTGCCCTTAAACCGTCGGGACTATTTGCTCATGGCAGTCGTTCACAAAGAGGTGAACCTCGCCCCGCCTGGCCAATTGACACCCGATCGCGGCAATGTTACAAGACACGATCGCTCGAAGCGGTCGCGCTGACGGCCGCGCGTTTGCCGTTGCACAGTGGACCGCCTGCTGAGCCCCTCCTACCGCCGCCTCACGCCGCCCGAGGATCAGCTGAAGGAGCTCCTGGAGAAGCTGGACCTGAGCGCGGCCATGAAGAACAGCCCGTCTCGCAGCAAGAGGCTCAAGCTGCTCAAGAAGACCATCACGGAGGTCCGCAGCGAGATGAGCCTCAAGAAGTCGCTACCGGCCACCGAGCGGCCGCCGCACGGACCTCCGCAGTCACCCGGCGCCGCTCCCGAGTCGAACGCCTCCGCTCCGCCGACGCTCAAGGCGCCGCTACCGTCGGCGCCGTCGGAAGCGCCGCCGACGCCCCCCGACCTGGGCCCGCCCCACCTGAAGCCGGCGGAGCCCGTCCCCGCGGCGCCGGGGGTTTTGACCTGCACCTCAGCTACCTCAGCGCGCGCCCCCAAGCTCAACGGGCACCTCCCCGACGGCGACCCAGCCGAGCGACGGAACAGCCTCCTCTTCCGCAAGTCCAAGAGCGTCAGTCCGCAGAAGCTGCCCAGAGACCGCGAGGCGCCCGCCGCCCTCTCGCCATCGCCGCCGCTGGGCGCAAAGACCTTCCTGTCGGTGGTCATCCCTCGACTGGAGTCGCTGCTGCTGCCCAAGAAGCGGCCGCGGAGCAGCAGCGTCGACGGCGAGCACGACGAGTCGCCGCCCGTCAAGCGTCTGGGCGCAGGTACAAAAAAAAGGAAACGGACGACTTTTTATGACCAAAGTATTGAAATATTTCAGAGAATGTGAAATATTCCCCCGATCATCTTGAGCGTATTTTTTTTTCCATCTTCTTCTTGTCAAATCATGCCTGTACAAGCAGAATCGACCAAATGGATGAGCTGCCATCTTAAAAACGGGAGTCTTTGCTTTCCGAACGTGCTCTCCTCCGAATCGCCGCAGCGTTCACAAGCCGCTTTGTCTCGGCAGGGGTCGCCAACGGTTTCGTGCCGGGGCGAGGGGAGGACGACGCCCCGCCGCCTCGATTGCTGGAGCCTCGACGCCGCTGCGCCTCCGAGTCCAGCATCTCCTCCGGCGCCAGCGTCTTCTCCGGTGCCAGGTTGGCCGTCCTCTTTCGTCCTTGTCGTGGCCAAGTAGCGCCTTTGCACTGCATGCTGCACGCCAGCGGCACATAATCCTCCAAATGCGCACGCCCTATCGGATACGCCGCGGCGGCGCGCCGGCTTGACATCATCAAAACGCACGCTGGCTGATGTGCACGCACCTGCTGGAAAGTGAATGTATCGAGAATGAAAAGTGCCATGATGACTGTGTTGATACTTCTCAAGATGTGCGTTGGAGTTTTTCATGTTTTTGTTTTCTCCTTTTCAGTACCGCAACGATCACCAAAAGCAGCAACGGGCAACCGGCGGCCGCTCGACGCAACACGGCGGACGACCAAAGCGGTCCTCCGTCTTGCGCCGAGAATGGAGAGTTCGGCCACGCCCTCAAGGTCTCGTCAGGTGATTGCTCGACTCGTTCCTCCGCTTCCCGGTCCGGATGAAAACACGCGCTTGTCGGCTCTCGGCTACGTTTTGCCCGCCAAGCAAAAGCATCAGTCCCGAATTCCTCGTCGAACGACGCGACTTTTTGGTCGCTCGCGCTGTCAGACTACAAGACAAATCTTCCGTGTCTTGGACCGGGCGACATGTCGCGCTACACGTCCGTCACCGAGCGGAGCCCGCCTGATCGGCGCCTGCTTCCGTCGAGATTCATTTCCATCGGCGCGGGGCTGGCAGGGGGGTCGGGACGAGCAGCTGGCAAAGTCCTGGCCACGGTGGCATGATGTGCAAGCGCATTGTGTCTATGCTCAGAAAAGGCAAAAACAAAAATGAGAATGAGAGAGAGAGAACGGATCCGTTCCTGGATGGTGGAACGAGGGCGGTATGGACTGTCGGTTCTCCAAAAGGAGCTTAAGGTGACGATTTTGTTGCCCGACACACATTTGCTCATAAGCTTTGCAGTTAGCCAACGTCACATGAGTTGAAATGGGCGCATCTGCACACCGCGTGCTGATGGTGAACGCCGCCTCCGGTCTTCCTAGCGGTCAATGCCAAAGGACGACGTAGGACGTGTCACGCTGTGCGCCAAAACAAAGAACAATTCTGGCGCGCCACAAATTGGTCGTCGTGGTCGTGAGAAGTCACCACCAAACCGTCGAGTGCGTCACACGACGAGACACTGCCGGGCCACACTTGCGTAGTCTGACGTCGGCCTTTTTATTATTTTTTTTTTTTATTTATTTTTTTTTTTGACGCGTTGTATCGGTCATGAAGTTGAGATGCACGGGCGTCATCGTAATTGTTTTGGCTTTGTATTTTTTGAGGGGAGTACTCAACTCAAGTGTATTTCCAGCGCACTTGAAAAGTAGACAAAGTGCTGCACGTGGAGCCAAAATAATTCCTACAACAACAAAACAATCAATGAATAACGAAGAGAGGAGACCACGTAAAAAACAGTCCATCTCAAAGCCAAGTCTCCTGCTGGGTCAAAAGCCAAAGAATCAAAATGAGTTTGAAGACGAGTTTGAACGATGGCCAGCGAAGGGGGAGGGCGCGGCAATGGAAAAGCCTCCGCCTCCCGTGGGAGTCTCCGCTTAATTCTCGCTACCTCTAATAATGTCGGGTCCGCAGACCTGAGAGAGGTAAGGTTGGGGTGACGGCATTTACCGCTTGGAAATCAAATCAGAGCATCTTCAAAAGAAAAATTTAAAATGTACAGGGAGCCAGTGAAGCGCTGCCAGAGTCGAAGTGATGCGCTCCCTCTTACCAGTAGCAGTCAAGAGGCGAGCTGCAGCATTCTGGACCAACTGGAGACACTGAATGGAGGATCGTCTGACTCCAAAGTCAAGTGCGTTCCTGTAATCCGGCTCAGATGTGACAAAGGCACGAATGACTCTTTCAAAATGCTCATCGGAGAAAAGAGAAGCTTCACATTGTACACTTGAATCGTGTACAGCGCATGCCGGCCCACTCGTCAAACTTGCCGCAGTGGACACGCGCGCGCGCACTGCCGGTCGTCGTCGTTGGTTTTTGATGCCATCATCCGGCGTGCGCATCATTTGACTGAGAATGGCCCGCGCGTGTGTGCGTGCCTGTTGTGTATCGGCTCGTAATCGACTTGTGTTGTTCCTGTAGAGGCGTGGAAGCCCTCGGCCGCCTTCCCCTTTGTTGCGGAGCCTCTTAAGCTAGTTTGGGCTAAATGTAGTGGATATCCCTCCTATCCCGCGCTGGTGAGTGACTTGCCAAGCCACCCGCCTTGTCTCATTACCCATCAGCCCCCCCTCGCCCGATCCCCACCCTCCGTCCCATCGTGCGTGCTTGTGATTGGTCGCTCGTGGGGGGCGGGAAGGGGGGGGGGGACGCTCGGCTCGCACGCCGTATTTGCATGCTTGTGACTCCGGATGTGGACGGCCGGCCTCCTTTGTCGGACGAGAACGCGCTCACCTTTCGGCGTGTTCTTTGCCGTAGATCATGGAGCCGCCGGCGCCGAGGACGACGAGGCGGCCGGCGCGGCGCCAGCGCAACGGGGCGGCGACACTGGGGGCGGAGCTTCCCCGACCCCCGCGGGACGTGCTGCGAGCCGGCGAGCAGATGCAGTTCAGGTCCGCAGAGAAACTCTTCCTCGTCCACTTCTTCGACAGCAAGCGCAGCTGGTGAGGCGCGAAAAGCCCGACAGACACTCGCATCATTGCACGACCCTTTTCCAAACCCCCCGCCCCGTTTTTTTGGATTTGTCCTGACTAGAGATGCAACGCTTAGTTGACGGCTAATGGGAATTGATCCGTAGCTGGCAGCGGTAACTACCTCCCCCCCCCCTGTCCCTTCCAGGCAATGGCTTCCTAGATCCAAGATGTCTCCGTTCGGCGTGGATCACAGTCTGGACCGCATCAAGCTGCTGGAGTCTCGCCGTTCGCGTCTGCAGAAGTCTGTGCAGCGAGCCTTCGAGCGGGCCATGAAGCACCTCGGCGACGAAGGCGGGGGCGGGAGGGCCCCGGCCTCGCAACGTTGACGACCGCTGTCACACATTCCCCCACCCCCGCTGCCGCTTTTGGTGTGTTTCGGCTCCCGCCGACGCCCGCTCACGCACAAACGACTGATGCGCCGAAGCTCGCGGCGGCCGTCTTGTTTTGTTCCGAGACCTATGCAAACGCCGACACTTTGGTGACGGGAGAAAGACGATCCAACGGACGAATGTGCCCATGAAACCGACCGCCTCACATGTGCTGCAACTATCTTAACTGCCACGAAGACTGCGAGCGTGTTGTGTGAGAATGGGAATGTCAGCGCGTCTGGGCTTGTGGACGTCTGTACACGAGTTTGTTTTTCTGCATGTTGAAAGATTGTGTGTGTGTGTGTGTGTGTGTGTGTGTGTGTGTGTCAGCTCCTACCACTCGAGGTCCTGACTTGACACTAATTTATTCAATGAGTCCTCCTGTCATCGGACATTTTGTACGACAACTACGGCCACTGCCATCATGTGGTGCTATTTCATTCATACTGTATCTTTGTTTTTGTTGTTGTTTTTTTTTTGTTTTTTTTTTACTTTTTTAAGTTATTGACTTCTCAAGCTACAACTTCTTGGCATTAATTTTGTTTTTTTATAAAGTATGTTTTTACACAACTACTTGTTTGTACATATTTATGTATAAGCTACAGACATGCTCATTGTTTGAAGTGGCGCAAAACCAACCAAAAAAAAAAGCCACACCACAACTTACCCAAGTTTTGAGTTTTTTTTTTTTTTTTAATGTTTTGTTTTACTCCATTTTTTATGTTTTGTTTTACTCGAGTGTTTGGTTTATGTTTGGGCGTGTGCGTGCGTGCGTGCGTGCGTGCGTGTGTGTGTGTGTGTGTGTGCTTGTTCCAACGAGGAGGGAGCAGAATGTGCCTGTGTTTATTTATTGTAAAGCAGATCATATATAAATGTAAATGTATATGAATGCCTTTATAGATTATAGTGAGACGATAGTGGGGGGGCCACATTTCATGCTGGGTGCAAACAACGTTGTGTGAGAGCTTTTGTTTTGACAGGGTAGAACGCTGGCAGGGTCGACTTCCCGTGTGTGTGTGTGTGTGTGTGTGTGTGTAAGTATATAAATTCTTTTGGTACTTTAGCTCTGGGAATTAAACATTGTAGCCAACGGGAGTGGAAAAGCAGCCAACACGTTGGCTTTGTTTTTTAATACTAAAACACTGAAAAATTAAAATTTTATTGAATCACTGATTGTCTCTATGAAAATTATATTATGTGTGAAGTCTGCATTATACACTTGACAGTGGACTCCATTAGTTTTAACTGCAATGTATTTTAATGGTGGGCGACTTGACAAAACTTTTTTTTTTTTTATTATTGTACTTTCATTCAATGAACGCATTTGGTTTGGACCAGCGGGGCGCGGTGATATAC